CACATTTGTCTGCGTTTGGTCCATATCTCTCTAAACCTTTCCTATCCATGTACCTGTCCAAATACGTTTAAATGTTGTAATTGTACCTGCCTTCACCTCTTCCTTTGGCAGCTCGTTCCATATACACATTACTCTTTGTATGAAAATGTTGCCCCTCAGGTCCCTTTTAAAAATGTCCACTCTCGCCTTAAACCTATGCCCCCTAGGTTTGGACACCCATACCCTGGGGAAAAGATCTTGGCTATAAAGGAGAGGGAAGACAGAGCAGAGGGGAATGAGATGATGTGAAGATGTGAGTGTTGGGTCCTCATTGGGAGGATGAAAGATTATGGAGCAGATAGACATCATGAAGGGGAGAGATTACAGGTGAAGGGCTTGAACTCACAGCGAAGTGAGATGCCAAAAGGGCTGGATGGAGATTGTGAGCGAGATTGTAGCAGGTTGTCTGGGAGACCAAGGGTAACCATGGGGACCAACTCCTGGCCAATCAGGACTTGCTTCCTGGATCTGGCAACTCTTAGTTTCTTAGGGTTTTTCAAGTCCTGGAAGTGGTGACCAATGTGTTGATGTATTTGTAGACCCATGATGCACCATGTCACAACTTTTATTGCAGCAAGTGCACCAGATGCTAACAATCTGCACTCTGCAGCTTACTCAGCTCCTGGCTCCCAAAAGCCTGTCTACAATCTACAAGGCACGAGTGTGATGGAATACTGACTAATTGCCTGAATGAGTGCTGTTCCAACAACATTCAGCAAGAATGTTATGATGGAGCTGTTTCTAATGATAATTAGACCACAGTTAGAGTGCTTTGTGTAGCTCTGGTGCCCACACCATAGAAAAGATGTGATTGCACTGGAGAAGATGCAGAAGAGATACACCAGGATATTGCCTGGACTGAAGTAATTCAGCTATGAACAGAGAGTAGATAGGCTGAGGGTTGTTTTCCTTAGAGCAGAGAAGGCTCTCAGGGGATCTGATTGAGGTTACATAAAATTCTAAGGAGCTTAGAAAGGGAGAAACATTTCCCTTTAGTAGAGAGGGCAATAACTAGGGGGCATGGTTTTAAAGTAAGGAGCAGGGGATTTAGAAAGAATTTGAGGTAAGTTTTTTTTTCACCCAGAGGATTGTGCATATCTGGAGCTCACTGCCTGAAAGGATGATGAAGGCAGGAACCCTCAAGATGTGTAAGAACTATTTAGATAAACACTTGAAATGCTATGATATACAAGGTTACAGGCCAAGTGCTGGAAAATGGATTAGAATAGATGGATATTTGATGACCAGCATGTACACAATGAACTGAAGGGCTCCTTTCATGTGTAAAAATTCTATGACTCTAAGAAGCTTGACATCATCCAGGACAAAGCAGCCTGCTGATTGGCGCCCCATATACAAACATCCATTCACTCCACCAATGCTCAGTAGCAGCAAGTGTGAAAATGAAAACGCATTTAAGATCATGCACTGCAGAAATTCACTAAGGCTCCATAGATGGCACCTTCAAACCCATGGCCCTACCATCTCAAAGGACAAGGGCAGCTGTGTGGGAGCAGAGAGATAAACAGCTTCCAGAGGATGGTGAAAACAATTGTGTCTGAATTCTATACGATGCATTTGGATGCCAAAGCCATCATATTTTCAATGTTTGGTACAGTAATGCTGATTCCCTGTACCAGGATGGAGTGTTAGAAGCCAGTTACTTGAAAGATTGATATGGTTTGGATGGACATAGATGGTTCAGGTTTTGTTGTTGATACATCCAAATGATAGCTAGGCAATGATTGGGTTAAATCAGTCTCATTAGACTTTGCTAAATAGAAATGTATAAGTAGGGATTCATTGAAAAAATTATAGATGTGTTAGTTGAGAAATCTACCAATGTGTTCTGTACAACAGTCTATCACAAGCTTACATTCAAGGTCAATATACAGGTTGGAATTCCTATAGGTCTACATGCTGTAAGATCAACACTATTACAATCCTATTGAATAGGCTCTAGCCATCTAATCATTGTGTAAGCCTGAAGCTAAGATATGGCTTTTTAAACTATCCTGTGTGAAAATGGCTACATTAATCAAATTATCACTCACTGAATATCACACAAACTCATGAAAGGGCCTATGGCAGCAATTTTTTGACCCTATTCAAAGTCCAGGCCATCTCAGATTACTTTGGAATGGGAAGGTTTGTCAATAAATGGAGCAATTGGTGAATCCAGCTGTTTTATGTGGCTATTTTGCAGTAAACATGTGAATTGTTTCGTGTATGAGTTTAATTACTGATGTGATAACAAGTATGTAGGTCATACGTTCCAATGACTGGCAGACTGTATCAAACAACATTTCCCTTTGACCATCCACAGTAGGTAGCATGCCAACCATGCACCAGAAGCCTGTACTTGCAAACCTCGGATACCCCATATCTACGGCCATATTTTTGGACAATGTTTACTAAATAATGTTGATTGTGTTATGAGTTACACTGAAAATATATTTAAGATCATTACTGGCTTGCAGTCTGATTCATTTACTTTGAATATTACATATATATATACAGAGGACCTTTTCTCTGAAGCAGAAAGAAATTTGTCTACACATTGCATAATTTTTCCATTGAGGAACAGATTATGGAGAATACCAATCCCTGTTGCATTTTTCAAGGTAATGCCCTGACCATTCAAAATCTATTTGCCTGGTTTGAGGCTAATCAGCTAACTAAAATTAGCAGTCAAGGGTATCACTGACCAGGCCAGCATTTATTGCCCATCCCATTGGCCAGAGGCGATTCAGAGTCAACTACTTTGCACTTACCTTCCCTTAAGGATGCTAGTGAACCAGATGGTTTCTTTCCCCTAACAATTGACAATATTTTCATGGTCATCATTTGACTCTTGAATTCAAATTCCACCGTCTTCCCCGATTCAAACCCAGGTCCCCAGAACATTACCAGGGTCTCTGGATTAATAATCTAATGATAAAAGCGCTAGATCATCACCTCCCCATTATGTTGTCTTTCTAAGTTAGTTTCTTGTGCAACAGGTCTGATAAGTACAGGATAAAAAGCTTTTGCTTTTTGTCTCATTTTAGCAATGTGTTATATACAGCATTGACAGGTATCATGACATTTGGGAGCATTTATGCGGTGATCATAGCTGATCTACGCAAAGTGCCTTGGTAAAACTACTGCACTTTGAAACATTTGCTCAAATATAAGCAAGTGTTATGTCTTGCTTATTCTGAATAAAATATAGCCACTGATACCAGTAAAAGTTATCACTTTGAATCATTTCAGAGAATGGGAAAAAGGGATAAATTGGCTTCCTGAACTCCAAATTCCAAAGTACCCTTTGGCCACCATGATGTCTCAAATGTACCTGGCAAAGCAGACTGCAGCAGAATCTAAGCACCATCATTTTTGCTGCCAGAATAGAAAGCTTCATTAACTTTGCTTCTTCAATAGTGCTTGACATGTTGGAAATATCACCAACAGAAATCTGGCAGAAGCCAAATGCATACAAATTAATTACCACAGTTACCTTTATGGCTACTGGACATTTAGTCCTTATTTTGCATTGAGTTTGCACTTGTGGCTAGAGCATGTGATGTATTTCCATGGTAACATTCTAACAGAAGAGTAGATAGGAAAATCACAAACTGAATAATTTGGGAGATATGACTTCTTATTTAGTCTTCTTCTCCTCCACCTTTCCGAAACTTATCCTGCTCTGTGTAACCTCTGTTAATTCTCGATGTAATGCTTTGTTTTAGAATAGCTATTTCTGATGGCAGTAAAATGTCGTTTACCATATCCCACTAAATTCTCTACTTATTTTCTTGCAGAATTTAGCAATTAGATACAAATGCATGAATCACCAAACACTTGTTAAATCAAAGCAACAGCCAAAGGGAAATCTATAGGTTTTTTTTTATCCTTTTAACGAGCATTGGTGGGCCCTCCCCAGCTGTTGAACATGCATTCAGCTGTATGAGGATAAGGGAGCTCAGTAGCTGGAATATTGAGTTTCAAATTGGCAGCACTGGCATCAAGTCAGTGTTGTATGTTGCTAATTTATCTGATGTGCATACTTGCCAGACGTTAACGCTATGCACATGCTAATGCCCTCACTAATCTGGTATAATTGATCCACAAAAATGCATGTGCTTTCACTCAGGCTATTTTGCCCCTTAAAGACACTCATAGGCACAAAAGTGAACACCAACAGATCCAATTTCTCAAATACTCTCTTCTGGGATGCCAGACGCTGAAGGCTTATGCCGAAGCCCTGCATTTTACAACACTATTGAGTATTCTTTGCTTTAAATATAGTAGTCCAGTGAGAGCCTTTCATTTTGACAAGAATGTTATGTTGCAAATTTAAACAATGGAAAATTGGAACTTTATTTTAACAGTACAAAATAGATTAGGCTGAAAAAGTACAAGACAGGACGTGCTAAATAATCACCGATATTATTTCTACAAAGAAATAGAAAAATGAAACTTCTATCATCATTTCAATTGTTTGCTAATGTCTTGTAAACATATTTCAGTGACAGAAAACAGGAATGCTTGCTGCATAGAGCAGATTCTTAAACCAATAACACAAGCTGCTTACACCAAATAACTGCACGAAAGCTTGATTTCCAGCAACTGAAATCTCAGGTACTTCTTAAATATTGCTAACAAATGTGTGTATGAAGAAACCAACAGCTATACATAAGTGTAACTGTGGCAGACTTTTAGCCTTCTATGCAAAATTTCTAACATTGAATCAACATGGTACATTAGATTTTCTCAGTGAATTAATCTCTTTTAACTTACAGTTCAGAAAGAGGTTTGAAAAGCTTGTACTCTTTGATGAATGAAAGTTTCCCTAAAGGAAACTGCGGGTGTATATACCCCCAAATTCAGCGTTTCTAACATGCAACAGATTTAAGATTTTGATGTTACAACTAGTCTGGATTTATGAAAGATTAATGTCAAATTACAATTTTTTTTACCTTCTTTCCCTTCTTGATCTCTACATCCATCGTGTTTTCACATCTGCTCTGAACTTCTGATGTTTTTCTTGCTTTGTTCTTGGGCTGCTACATGCAGGAAACCCTTGGTTGACTCCACCAAATAAGTTCTGATGTAAACTTTTAACAGTTCTTCCTCTCCTGGGAGTGACAACAATATACATCAGCCTATCAAAATCCAGCAAATATTAGACTATATCCAATGTTGGGTGCATCTAAAGTTATATTTTGATTGAACACTCATCTGAACACTGACTGTAATTTGACAGTACTCCATAAAATAGTGATATGTTGATATATGCCCAATCTTAAATACTGCACTGATTTCCTTAAGTCACTATACAGTCAGTTCCTGTGGATGTGTCCTATCAGTACCTCCTGTTGGCAAACTGTCATTGTTTCATTTACATGACACAGAGTAGAGCAGGAAATGATTCCAATGTCAGCCATTTTCAGACCAACATTATTGTATTAACTTCACAGTTATAAATAGAGCTTTTGTGATCCTTTCCATTTCACAATTCAATATTTATATTTTGATTGAGTTTGTTTGGTGGTTTATTCCTTCCTCAATATACCTTATGTTCATCAAAATCTTTTCTTCCTACCAAATTAACAGTGATATAGTTGTATAAATATAATCACAATCATTTGGTGCTACACCATTAAAAACACAATTTAAACTTCCAGTTCTAGATGTCTGCCATTTCATGAATGATTGTCATGGTTGAATGAATTCAGTGGATAAAAATCGTCTCCTCTCTTTTGATTTAATAAGCTAAAAGTTTGACGGTTACATTCTTTTACATTCTAACACCTATTTCTGGGAACCTGTCATTGCTTCATTCAAATGTCTATCTATGTGACCGAAATTAATCCAGTATATATTTTCAAAAATAGCAACTGTTTCCAAGTGCAAGAGATGAGCTAGGCAAGATGCTCTGGAATTAGATAAGTCAAAGATGATTTGGTTGGTACGTGCAGGCATTGGGCACCTAGAATTTCAAAGGGACCCAAGTAAGTTGCCATATCGGTTTGTTGTTTGAATTATGATACTTATCATTAAAGGAAATATGGCAGAATAGATTAGAAATCAAGTAAAGAGCAGGAAACAGAAATTAGTTGTTAATTTTGCTTTTTGATGCTGAGAACGTGCACAATGCTGTTGCCAGGGAAAAGTGCTGGATGATTTTTTTAATGTAATGTATGTAAAGTTGCCATTGTCTTTCCAGTCTATAGGGCTGCTCTCTCATGAGAGAAAGAGACATCTGGTGGTAGTTTAACCTGAGGGTCACTATGCCACAGGCAAGGGGAAAGGTTGAGAAGGTGGGACCTTCATGCGCAGAAATTGAACCCACACTGTTGGGTGTCACTCTGCATCACAAACCTACCATCCACTCAAATGAGCTACATTTTAATCATCACGGTAGCCTCACTTACATGCTAGAAACAACTTTGCTCAGTTGGTGCAGTGCTTCAAAATTTATGAGCTAGTTGAAATGCATTGGAGATTGAATAGAAGGCTGACAGGACACGGAAACGGAATGGCTCCATTATTATTTGCTGATGTGGAGGGTAAACCTCCAAGTAAACAGTCTGTCCTTTGTTGTAGCTTCTATTGCCAATAGCAGTTGGTTTTGTATATCTCTAAAATCATTTTATAGCTAAATTCATAGCTCCTTTTTAATGATTTCACCTCTTTTTCCTGCTTTGTAAATGTTGGCAGGCTATTCACAGACAGTTCTGATGAAGGATCGCTAGACTCAAAACATTAACAATGATTTCTCCCCACAGATGATGCTAGATCTGATGAGTTCCTCCAGCACTTCCTGCTTTATGTTCTTCAGGTCTGATCTTGCTCGTTCAAGCATTTAAGTTGGGTTTGCAGAATGGGATCAGGAGCAAGAATCCTGGATATGTTTCTTTAACTCAAATGCTAAGGATAGTTGAAAGGGACACCAATTTATTCTGTAAAGTCTGAACATCCAACCTGAAATATTCTTCATTTAAATCGACACAATAACTCATTCTCTAAGCCATCTGTGCCATCAAATGGTATATTCAGTTTTATAACATGATTTAATATTTTAGTATTTTGTTTTGAAGAACAACCATGTTCTTTTCTAGGTGTAACTAAGCAACTTGAATCATTTAAGATAACAAGGTGTAGAGCTGGATGAACACAGCAGGCCAAGCAGCATCAGAGGAGCAGGAAGGCTGATGTTTCGGGCCTAGACCCTTCTTCAGAAACTTGAATGGTTTGTTTTCTTTACCTATGTGCTTCTACTTATTTGAGTAGTGTGCGTAGTGGTTCTCCTGATTGTTCTATTGAAAGAGTTAATGAATATCTACAGAACCATTTTGCTTTACAGCCCCTTGCACCTGTTGGAGCTCTGAGCTAGAGGAATCCAAAATTGATTTCAATGGCTCCGTATCTTTACTTCCACTGATTACTTTGTCTGCTTTAATATTTATTCAAAAGATGTAATGGTCTTGTCTCAATGCTTCCTCAGGCAAGAAAGTCATGTTCCAATAATCTGCTTGACTTGTATCTGTTACAGTATGGGTTACCAACAAAAATAAATCATCTGTGATTAATGGCCATAATGACTTAATTGTACTTCATTGTGTGTGAATGTAATAAATGATCATATGGAGATGAAGCATTGTAGCACTGTCAAAATTGAAATTTGACACTGCAAATTAAAATCCTTAGGGATGATGCAAGATAAAAATTTGTCCAGTCAATTGTATTATTACTGTTTTGTTATATATATATTTCTGAGCAGCAAATGGAAAAAAATTCTAAATCATGAAAAGCTCTTGTAGAAAAACATATTTTATTTTTCTTCAGTTCTCTGGCTGAAGGCAGATACAAACCACAGCACTGCAATCTATACCACAGGTAGGGCAAGGTGGCAGACCCCCAAGATCTCACCAATTAAAACAGGAATCAAACCCACTACTATTGGTATTAATCTGATCCATGCAGGTTGGCCAGCTAACCGAGCCAACTGTCCCACGCCCATTTTCTTAAGGAGTATGAGTTGCTGAGACAACATGTATGCTGTAGCACAGAGCTATAGATAGTGATGGTAGAGGCTCCAGAAAAAATAGTGTGTCTTTTTATGATGATTAAGACCTTTGCAGTTCATATCCACAAGTCATAGGCATTTAATATCCAAGGATAATTTTGTGCACAAATTTTTGTGCACAATCAATTAGGAGCAGGAATAGACCACTTAGCCCTTCAAGCTTCTTCCACCATTAAATAAGATCATGGTTGATCTGCTTTTTCCATGTTTTCACCAAGCTGATAATCTTTCACACTCTTGGTTATCAAGAATTTATTTACCTCGGCTTTAAAAAATATTCAAACTGTGCTTTCACTGAGTTTTGAGAAAGAAAATTGTAAAGACTCTTGACTCTCTGTAAGCTGAAAATTTCCACATCTATGTTTTAAATGGCCAACCCCTTATTTTGAAACCATAATGTATTTTTCTAGATTTTCCCACGAGAGAAGGCCAATACTCTCTGTGGAATTTTTCTTTCTGATTAGAATATATGTATTCTGAAAAACCCCTTAAATGTCTGCCACTGTATCTCTATTGATCTATCCCTTAATCTAATTTGCCAGTTTATCTCAGCTAGATTTGTTTACAATGCCCTCATAATTACTTTTATTTAAATTTAAAATACTTGTCTTGGACCTACTCTTCTCTCCCTCCAACTGAATGTAAAATTAAATGATATCATGTTCAGTGCTACTAGCGCCAGCTTCATATTGAGATCATTAACTAATCCTATCGAATTGTCCAATGCCACGTCTAATATAGCCTTCTCTCTGGTCAGCTCCAGAATGCGCTGTTTAATGAAACTCTTCTGAAAACATTTAATGAACTGCTAATCTAGGCTACCTTTACCCACCTAATTCTTCAGTCCATATGTAAATTAAAATACCCCACGATTATCACCATATTTATCTGACAAGCTCCCATTACTTCTTTTATCCTCCATCTTCTCATGAGATTACTTCTGGGGGATCATTCATCATTTCCTCAAGTGTTGTTATTATTTCTACCTAAACTACATCCTAGTGTCCTCAACTTAGGTCATCCCTCTTTATTATGCTAATACCATCATTAACTAACAGAATCACCTCTACACCTTTTATTGCCATTCTTTACTTCCTAAATGTTATGTACCCATCAACATTCATGTCCCAAGCTATGTCATTCTAACAATCATGACTGTCAGATTGTACTTCATTATTTCTATTCATGTTTTCCATTAATCTGTTTTGTTTAGAATGCTACATGAATACACATAAAGAGCTTTTAGTGTTGTCTTTTTATTTAACTTTATAAAGCCTAGACTTCTCTGTTTGATATTGCTGTCACCCGAAACGTAAGCAATTCTGCTTTCCTTATTTTTGATTACATGAATAAATGTGACGGCAGAAAGCATATCATTGAAGGCTGAGGGACCATTGAAGATTGGTATTAGTATTCTAATTATTTAACATATTGTTGTTTGTAACAAAATCAAAGGACACAAGATTGTTGCATTGGAAATTTACTGAACTCAAAAGTCTATTTATTCTAAGTCTAAATAATATGGCCCATCTAAGTCTCTGTCGGCTCTATTAATATCCTTGGTACTAGAAGCAGTTGAAATAAGATTCAATCATATCTGTTTTCTTTCATATCTTAAACTTAGGGTCTTATTTACGAGTTAAATTACAGTTCCCAACTTTTCACTGGTACATAAATTGTGCTGTTGCTAAGTAGAGCTGTACCTGGAATCTCCTCCATTCCCCAGCCACTTGTGAAAACTGTACTCAATCCATGTGGTGGAACTTCAGAGGTTGCTGGAAATGACTTTAGGAAAGGAAGGTAATAATACTGGATTTCATTAAGAGCTATAGAAAATATTTCTTAAGTTTAAGATAATATTTGTGGAATACAGACCAAGAGACTTCTCTCTAAATCTTCCAAATTACAAAAAGCTTAGAAAATTGATGATACATTTAGACTGTAGCTGTTGATTCTAGCCAAGTGAAGCTAATTCTTATTACCTGGCTGCAACTACAATTTGCCTTCTGTGGGAAGAACGTTGCCCATATGTACTCATATCCACGCTGAATTCCCCTGCAGTGCTTATAATTTCAGAATACAGCAGCAGTTATTTATATTTTTTCATGGGATGTGGACATCTCTGGCTAGACTAACATTTATCACCCATTCCTAATTATCTTTTCTGGTGTTAGT